ACCTATTAAACTCTTGATTCACTTAACTTTGTTATACAGACAATCATATTCTATCTTGATAAAGATACTTTTTGTTTCTTCTCTCCAATATTTGTACCTCAATCATTTTTCTTTTTGAGGTGCATTAGCTAGAAGTTTCAGAAAAATGTTAAATGGTAGTAATAGCCAGTATTATTCTTGTTTTTTCTGACTCTAAAGGTAATGCTTCTTAAGTTTTATTAATTATGGCACTGATTGTTGTTTTGAGGAAGAAATCCTTTCACAGGTTAATAAAGTATCTTTATATTCAAGTTAATTAAGAACATTTATTAGAAACAGTATCTGTTTCTAATAAATGAATTTTATCAGATTCCTTTTTAGGTGTTTTTGAGATAATCATAGGTTCTTCTATAGTCTAGTGGTATTTTATTAATTAATTTCTTAATATTAAACAGTCCTAGTATTTCTGGGATAAAGACATATAAAGTACCGTATATTTAAAACAAGTGAAGATGATAATGATGATTTTACAAGTGACCACACACAGTAGAAAAAAAATGTAGCCTTAGAAGTTTTTCAACCAATCATTCTACTTATATTAGAAAAAAACTATGTTTTGGGCTCAGAACTCTAATTTTTAAAGTAAAATTATCTTGATATTAATTCATTTAATGTCATTGCAAGCCTTAGTCCAGTTTTATATTTTCACCCAAACTTACCTTTATGGACTGAATATTCAGAAAAAGCAAACTTCCCTATCTCTAGAAACATCTGACCTGCACACCATGGGTGTGTAGGCAGAAAAAAATGGTTAAAGGATTTAGACTCATCTTCGGTAATGTTGAGCTCTGGTCTGGAAGATCCTGTGAAAAACTAGATATATCTCCTAAGAGGTATTTTTAGGCTTTCAAATTTTCCCTAGGAGGATGATGTAAATTAAGACCCAAGATTATTCCCATCAGGAATGCAATCTGTGTAGACTCCCTCTACCCAGATGGTCTTCTGAACTCATGCTGCTCAACCCTGCAACCCTCTGAGTAGAAAACATTCATAGTTATGGCAGGATGTGGGCCAGGGGAATTACCCAAGGAATTCTTGGCTTCTTCCAAGGGACTCTGCAGATTCAGATCATATAATTAGAGATGTTAGCACTGGAGGGGACCATCAAGATCAGCTTGCTCCACCTCTTAGCTTAACAGTGAGGAAAACTGTCTAGAAAAGGGAAATGGCTAAGGTGACACAGAGAATGTAGGTAACATGCTGGGATAAGACCTTGGATTTTATGCCTTTCAATTCAGTATTAATTTTATTGTCATGCTGGCTTACTCATTGGTATCAGGTTTCTGTTATCTCAGTGAACCATTAAGTGAGTTCCATCTTGATTTGTGTCTGATAAAAAGTAATAACTTATTTTATTACATATCCAAGTAATTTAACATTTCTCCTCCTTACACGCAAGCCTCTGTTTGTTTGTACTATTTCATGTGGTAGCAAATCAGAACATTTCTTGTGTCCCTGAAAATAGTCTGAGCGACAGAGTACAAGCAGCTTTCATGTACCAAGTATATAGGACTATGTTTCTCACAGGCATTCCAGGGTAATTTTTTGCAAAGGAACGCACTTCGTAGACTAAGCTAGGTGTCAGTTATCATTGTTTTCTTTTCCGAATAAAAGAAATCAGGTGATATCTGTAAATGGTTGCATAGTAAATATTAGAGAACATGCTGCTTAAAACAGATTAGGGAAAACTATAGAAGGGGCAGGGGATTTCGAGTGTGATTTTGTCCTTGAATGGTAATGGCTCTATGTGGTAGTGAGGTTTATGTTGGTTTGCTACTTGCAGATGGTCTTATTATTGGAATTTTGTCTACCAAAAATAAACTTCATTGTATTCTACAAACATGTGCCCTTCCAGAATAACACTACCAGTGTCTTTGTGAAACAGCCGCTGTCGTTGAAAGGATGAGTATGTCCTCTATTGGTTGAGGAAAGATGACAACTAACTCAATCATGACGATATGTAAAACAGGCATTCCAAGTCAGCAGTGGCGATGTGAGCCTGTAGTCCCAGATACTGGTGAGGCTGAGGTAGGAGGATGGCTTGAGCTTGGGAGTTTGAGGCTGTAGTGTGCTGTGATTGTGCCTATGTACAGCCCCTGCACTCCAGCCTGGGCAACATAGCAAGACCCCATCTTTTAGAAACAAAAGGCATTCCATTTGGATTAATACAGATTTCAATTATTTTGTTATAAATTTCAACTGAATAACAATTAAGCAAATAAGTCCATTGTGATAGATAAAACAGGTGGAAAATAAAATGGAGATTCAATGGCAGGGAGTTTAGTTCAAACTACTCAACAGGAAAAAAAACATATGCAACCCTGTACATTTCTAACTCTAAAAATTCTGTGCTACAGCTCAATTGCTAAGATACTCATCTTTTTTCTCCAGAATGCTCTTTGCTCTTTTTAGCATTCCATAGATAGGAGTTATTCCTTAGATTTATTTATGTAATTTTTTTGCAATGTGGTATTTATCAGTGACTCTCTTATTATATTGTTTGATATAGTTTGTATTAGGGGCTCTCTCTCTCACTCTCTCTCTTTCTCTCTCCTTATATACATATAAATGTTAGCAGAGGAATAGGTTCTGAAAAAGGGAGAAAGGTGTTTATGCTAATCATGATATAAACAATTGACTTCATTAGAAGCAGTCACAGGTCATATCCTTCCAGTTATTGTCTTATAAAGAACAAGAAATGATGCTTTGTCTGGCATGCATGGTAAACAATGCCCTTGCTCTCTCCTTCATGGCCTCACACAGTACTTCCAACATGGGTAGCACATACAAATCTACTGCCCTTGACTGCAACTCAAGAGAGCATTTTAGCCAAGTGCAAATCCACTAGTTATGAAAAAATAAAGTAAATGCGATATTGATATTTGTCAATGAAAAACAACATACTATAGAAAAATTGGGGGATAAAATATTAATCTAAAAATAATTTTAAGGATGAAATATTGCCACTGTAAACAGACCATGAAAAATTATATTTGCAGTGCAGATATATTTATACATATAATTTTAAATCCAAGATTTATCTTAACTGTATGCTTTCCTAATTTAAGGAGTTATTTTGAAATAGTTATTTACTCTAGAGAAAGTTTGACATGTACATATGGAACTTCATAAAAATGGACAGTGCAGCACCTGCACTGATTGTAATAGCGAAAGAGTGGGAACAATACAACTGCCCCAATGCAGAGCAATGGGCAAATAACAAGATTTATTCACAGGATGGCATGTTAAACAACACTTAGAACAAATGAGTTGGCTATACAAGTATCAATAGGGATATATGTGAAAAACACAGTGTTAAGAAAAAAAGTTGCAAAAAGTACAGTGTGATGCCATTTATATAAAATTTAAAACCTCAAAAACAATTCAATATATGTAGTCTAAAGATGCATACCCATGTAATAAGAGTACAAAGCATGCATAAAATGATACACTCGAAGCAGTAATATGTGTGTGCTTACTTTTTAAAAAATAAGCCCTCTTTAGTGGATTTGGCAAACTACTAACACATTATGCCTGTGTAGGAGGTTAGCAATTTTCTTTTCAGCCTCTGCCTGTCTGCTATAATTCAAACTCACATTTAAAATATGGTTATATGAGATGTTGAGAACTATAATATGCTAGGTTCATGATTAGTTTGGAGACTTTTTAAAAGTTTGAATGTTTTCTTACACTCAGAGCCTCGGTCTACACAGTTAATTTGAAGTGAAGTATTGTAAAACAAGCACAGCGTACAAAGCCAGCGGTCAACCAATGACAGCCATATATGGGTTAGGAGTCATCTGGAGACGAAGTTAATGTAGAAAACGTGGTCATCTGTTGAGTATGAGGGGGATGGTGGTGTTGGACACCTGAGATTTAGAAAAAGTTAAATCATTGTAGAAAATGGAAGAAAAAGCAAAGTAAGGGTTGAGACAGAGTAATGCTGAGCAATACTCGGGGGTGGTCGTGGCAGTCAGGCTTGAAATGAAATCAAGCATAACATCATTTCCTGGCAGAGTTTAGCCTCAGATCCCCATTTCACTAGGTCCTTATAAAACAAAATGGGGGATTGTGGGTCTTTCTCTTTTGAAGGTCCTTTGGCCTTCAAAAGATGGGTAAGAATTAGACCTTCTGGGTTCAAATCCTTGGGTTTAAATCTATTCCTGTATATTCAGGAGAAGTGGTAACAAATTTGATGAACAATTTGGTTTAGAAGTGATGGAAGATCCCCAGAAGGTAGATTTGGGAAAACACGACTCTCATCTTCTCTCATTGACTCACAGGCCTTTGAGGAGTTGATGAGTCATTGAATCTGGCACCAGGGTGAACCTGCTGGAAAAGGCCTGTGCCGAAGTCCACACTCATTGCAGACCTAAAGTGGCTGACTTAAAAAACAATACTGCTGGCATGCTCCTCCCTCCTGTTGCCAGCTCCCCTGTATGTGATTGCCTTAAGAAGCTATGTTCATTCTGAAAATTATACCATTGCTCAAAACACTTTTGAAAGTTCTATTTTGAAATTACATCCAGTCACTTGGTCTCTTTGGTCTCAGTTTCTTCATCTGCAAAGTGAAAATAATAATGCCTACTCTGACTCCAAAAGTTGTTACAAAATCAAATGGGAAATATTTTAGAAACTGTTAAGGGCTTTGTAGTTGTTACTAATTAAAAAACCATTTCAGAAACTATACTTTTACTTTATGGCAAAGATTCACTTTTTAGTTAAAAATACCTTGTACATAAACTTGTCCCCAAATGACTTTTGCTGTAACCAAATACCAAATCTTACTTCAAAGTATCAAGATAGTAAAAATAGTGTCAGGAGTTTCTTGTATGGTTTGGCCCTCTATGTTAGCCCATTTTAAGTCCTCTAAAGATGAAACTTCTTGTGTTCAAATTGTGGAGGTATTTTATGAGAGGGACATGAAATTTAATTTTTCTGTTTTTTTTTTCCTTCTGTAGGAAGTCACCAAAGCAGTACAGCCTCTTTTACTGGGAAGAATCATAGCTTCCTATGATCCAGATAACAAGGCGGAACGTTCCATAGCGATTTACCTAGGCATAGGCTTATGCCTTCTCTTTATCGTGAGGACGCTACTCCTACACCCAGCCATCTTTGGCCTTCATCACATTGGAATGCAGATGAGAATAGCTATGTTTAGTTTGATTTATAAGAAGGTAATACTTCCTTGCACGTGGTACATGTATCCTTTATGGTACATGTTTTAAATGCCATGAATTAGATAGTGCGCTGGTACAAGTAAGGAATCAATGCTGAAATTAATTTTGTATGCCTGTGAAATAAATGGCAGGAATAAATGTTTTTAATTGTCCTTGATAATTTAATTCACTTCATCTGATAATTATTGAGCACCTTCTGTAAACTGCTTATATTGTAGGTTTCGTTTTTGGTTTTTTCACTAGTCATATCATTTTTTTGGAATCCACGGTTCCCTGTTAAAATAACTCACACCATCTGCATGAAAGTCATTGACAAAATGTCATTTTATGGTATCTTTATGTTCAATGGTAACAGTATAATATATAATTGTTAATGATAGATTACCCAAGCAATAAATGTTTCCACCTTAACTAGTTGTCACAAGTGGTAGTATCCACTGCCTTGTTTTGAGTTGGATTTTTGTCATTCTGTGAGTCCTGTAAAGTTTTTGGAACAGCCCATGTATTGAAACCATAAGAACCTATTTTGCTTTTTTGTATGTATTGCTCAGACAAGAGCCCAATTTGCTAAAGCATGATTTAGGGGAATTCAAATTAACATTTAGCTAACTTACAAACACAATTTAAGGTCATTTCAATGTCATGTGCTTTCACCAACCTGATTCAATACTATGTGTGACTACTTGGATCTATCAAGTCATTACTGAAAGGTGTTTTTGATTGACTCATTTGGATATTGCTTTACCCTTATCCTCTTTTTTTCTTCCCCCAATGTAAAAAATCTTTATATACTTGGTTTATAAGGAGCATGGGTCTGAAATTTGCCTCTAGCAAATAATCCCTAACACTTCCATGGTATACATACAAGGTCATTTGAGTTATAAAACCGCAATAACCATACTTTACTGTTCAAAAAAGCCTTTTATGGAGGCAGAGGGGAAAAAAATGGAGTTCCCAGTTTAATCACATCACCTCAGCTGCAAGCTCAGCAGTTTATAGGTACCAGGAAAACATGGATGACAAATCAACAAAAATTTTATTTTGATCCAGACATTTTACATAAGTGAAGAAATTTTTAGGTATTATTTGGAATAGAGACTCTCCACAGCTTGCATATCAAAGAAAGTTGAATTAAGTTTAACAAATATTTATAAAAAAGTGATGATAACTAATAGCTAAGAATGTGCATGACAAGCTTGTAGTGATTTAGGTATACTATCTCAGTGATCCTCCCCATGACTGTTTATGATAGGTACTCTTATCCTTGTCTATGGATAAGGAAAAGAAGACCTAAAAAGTATAGAACATTTGGCAAAAACTGCTTCAAATTTCTAAAATAGGTAAATCAGAATCTGCGAAGTGAGAGGTTTTCCAACTATTAGGAAAAATGAAATAAGGACCGATACAGTGAGGCAGAGAGTGTTACATGGGAAGAGAGAGGCATGGGCTAACAAGGAGGAGAGATCGAATAAGGAGCAGGCTAGTTTGTAAACAAGACTATATGTAACATTTGGCACAAATACAGCAATATGTGTCTGATTTTTCAGACCCAGTATGTGTTAATGAAAAGTTAGATGCTATGGTACGTGTCTTTCTTTTTCAACATTGAGTATCTGTTCTTACCTAATTTGCTTCATCTCTCCAGCCTACATTGGCATCATCACCAAATAATGCGATTATATCTCCATGTGGCTCTGGTTTGGTCCCTAAATTGAGCCTTGTGTTGACTCAAATATAGTGGTTTGCATCTACTAAATTCTCAACAAATATGTGAGGGATTCAGTTGAAACAAATATTAAATGGGTACTTTCCAATCAAAGCCTCTAATAACAAATCAATTCTTCAATTTTACAGGGAAAGTATGACTATGATATTTCATAATCATAATTAATTTATCTTAATAATTTTAATTAAAATTAATTAGTAGATAAATACATAGATAAATTAATTTTGCATAAACTGTTATGTTTTTCCTTGTAAAATTTAAGGATTTTCTATTGCTAATTTAATTTTTCACAAAATCATTAATGATTCAGTTATTCATAATATACTTTTATTGACTTTAACAGTAATTTTATTCAAAAGAGTTAGTATAAGGCTGCATGAAAAATTTAAGATGAAGGTTTAATCTCACATTTTTGCTGCCTTTGGCTCCATCTTTTAAAACAAAAGCAAAGAAAAAAAACCTCTCACATAATATAAATGGATATTTAAGTACAATATCATTTTCATTGTGGAGGAGAAAAAATAATTATTACTGTCTAGATGCTGCAAAATAAAACAACTACAGTCATACCAGTATAATATTTACTGTAAAGAGAAATATTTATAAATCTGAGAAAATACTAAGCTAGATGAACATAAAATAGTTTTTACCACCTTTACTTAATGCATTTGTACTTTACTTAATGCATTCCTCAGCCATATTATGTTACTTATAAATATATTTGTCTTTTGTTTGTTGACAAACAAAAACATCTAATGTCCCATTTTTCTTTTAGATTTTAAAGCTGTCAAGCCGGGTTCTAGATAAAATAAGTATTGGACAACTTGTAAGTCTCCTTTCCAACAACCTGAACAAATTTGATGAAGTATGTACCTACTGATTTAATCTCTATCTGTTATTGTTATAAATCTTACATCCCCAAAGATGGAGTTTTCCTGGGTCAGATAATAGAAATAAGTGTTTAGGTCAACTTATCTCCACCTTCCCTATTCTGGAAACTGAGAAAGCTAAATTGTGTAGCAAAGTGTCATTCTGGGATCTGGCGGAACCACCTAAATCAAAGGCACCTTAGCTTGCTATTTATAAGATTTTTCAAAACTTAATCCTTATCAGACCTTATTTCTTTTTAATACTTTATATTTTTTCTCTTTCTTTTTTTTTTTTTTTACTGACCACTCATTCATCAGTCACCTTTTAATACTTTAAATCAGTATTTGGCTGAATTTAGTACTCTGAGCAATTTTTATTCAGTGGTATCTTATGTGACAGAGAAACCCAGGGTTCTTGAGGAGAGATAATGTGTTTTATTTATCTTTGCATTTCCAGTACTTAACATAGCATCAAACCCACAGTAGGTACTAAATTAATTACTGTTGAAGTGAGCACATATTTATTCTGAATATCTCTGTCAGACGACAGAGTTGTGCAGATTGAGCCTCTGGGGAGAGGCTTTGTTCTCTCATGTTCTATACTATGGTTCTTGTTGTATCCAAAAACAAATAGGCTATGCAAAATAAATTCTAGACATGATACTTAAATATCCAATCTCAATTCCACTGAAAAAATGTATTTACAAATCCAATGACTTGAAATTTGTTCCTTGGGAAAACCTAGTCTATTTATAGGATGTTTACCCACATTGCTATGTGCTCCATGAAATGAATATCTAGATTTTAATTCAGAAACTTGAAGTGTTTGTGTTACAAGCTCCCCGTGCTTGCTGTTTTTCACATATGATTCTTTGTTCCTGGGGGTGGAAGATAAAATGCCACTTGTTTTTTTGCTTGTATTTTCCAGGGACTTGCATTGGCTCATTTCGTGTGGATTGCCCCTTTGCAAGTAATGCTTCTGATGGGGCTGCTCTGGGATTTGCTACAGGCCTCTGCCTTCTGTGGACTTGGGTTCCTGATAGTCCTCGCCCTTTTTCAAGCTGGGTTAGGGAGAATGATGATGAAGTACAGGTAGCAGTCTATTTTCATAGCTTCAAAGGGTTTTAAATCAGGTTTTCAAAAAGCGCACTCTAGTAAAACCGGATTGCTCTATGCACTAACTGTGATCTATAAGGTGTCACTAAAAAGGAATTATTTTAATGGTGTAAATAATTCTTTGTATATCAATTGGATATTTTTTGATTGTTGGACTATAGAATGCATTTATAAATGTGATAAAATTCAGTTCATTTTTATAGATCATAAAAATGGTAAAACATTTACGTGGATTAGAGGGAATACGTAAATTTTGTGTAGAGTTTATTGACTTTGACTACTCTGGTTCATAGATCATCGCACCAGAGTTTCACTTTGTATCACAGATTGAATCAGTGATACCAGTCACTGCTTATGATAGTGGATTTCTCAAGTTTGTCACCTAGACTACGACAGAAAGTATACAGATTTTGGAGTCAGAGAGCTCTTGTTGAATCCCACATCACACACTTACTAGTTCTAGGACCTTAGTCAAGCTCTTTCACCTCACTGAGTCTCTGGTTTTTCATGTTTAAAATGGAGGTAACGACCTTTCATAGACTGTCACAAGGATTGGGGATAGTGTATGGAATGTATCTAATACAGGATCTGGCACAAAGGAAGCATTTACTAAATGGTAGTTATTATTTTTATTACCATCTATTTGATAATAAATACACATCTGATAAATGCCAGTTTTCTTAAAAGCTTGAGCAGTTCTTAGTAGGTAATTTGACTTATTTTTACTATTAGATTGACTGATTGATTGATTTACAGAGATCAGAGAGCAGGAAAGATCAATGAAAGACTCGTGATCACCTCAGAAATGATTGAAAATATCCAGTCTGTTAAGGCATACTGCTGGGAGGAAGCAATGGAAAAAATGATTGAAAACCTAAGACAGTAAGTTGTTCTTGTAATTTCAATATTATTAGCATTTTTATTTTAATATTTAAAAAAATGAGTCTGTCATAGTGGACTTTCAGCTCATATTTGAAGTTTTTGACTATCAAAAAATTGTATTAAATTATTTCAATATTCATGCCTTAGTTACATAAAGTCATTTTCATAGGCTATAATTTTATGTAGTTGATACAGTGTGTTATTTTGTACTATAAGGATATTTATATTTTTTGAAAGAATCCCTTACATGTATTCATAGCTGCTTAATATTAATATATTTATTTGATTAAGATAATGATCATGATGCTGGAGGCTGATTGATACTTCAGATGGAATTGCTACAGTGTACAATTCTGAACCAAATAAATTATCCTCTGTTTATATTTTACTTAATTTATGTTATGGTGCATGAAAATGGAAAAAAAACCTTTATCTGGTTAAAATATGCTTGTTCTTCCTTAACTTAGGAATAATAGCACAGGTAATATTCATAAACTATGTTCTTACAAACCCTCTGCTTGAAGTGAAGTCAGTTCAAGTAATAAAAGCCACTTCCTGAGATAGAATCAGTACTTGGCACCTCTCTCTAGTGTTCTTTCCCCTCATATAACCTTTCACTGATTAGTAAAGATTATATCCAGCAAAAAAAAAAAAAAAATACAGCATAGATTGAGATATGATTACTGAGATAATTTTGGGCAAAATATAAACTAGAGCATTTCTGTAGCCATGAGATCATTTTTCTTTAGTCAAGTTCCATGTTCTACAAACTTCAATCAAAAAGGGGTCTAGGAGACTCAGTGAAGTTTGATATACTGTTAAAAGGACAATAACTTCAGCACATGAGAATTTCACAAGGAAAAATACGCTAAAAAGAAGAGTGGCATTTTGGATGGTGTGAATATGAGTATTAGGAATTCAGGCTACTGAGTCTGGTAGACAATGGTAACTGAGCTGCAGGTGTGTGATTGGAACAACAAAAGAAATACTGAAATGCTAAGTCCTTTGCCATGTAAATAGAAGGAGTAAAAGAGTATTTATTTCCCAAACATTATTGGTCACCTGTTTTTGTTATGCCTTTCAAGACAAATCCAGGAAAGGAATTGCATTTTCCTTCCTGAAACATCCTTGAAGATCTTGGGGAATTGTTCAGTTGGTAGAAGTTGTTTTCTCATTAACAAGTGAGTGCTGCATCCTCTCGTTCCCTGCATCACTCTTAGGCCTGTCAATGCAGGCATGGCAAGGACACCCAGAAAGGTATCAGAAGATCCGGTTTTCTCAAGCCTTATGATACACTCATGACCAGATTATTCATGGTGCTGACTTTTCTTGACTTTGGTTTTTATTTTTCCCTCTTCCTCAAAAGATGAAATCCATCCTCCCTACTCTGTATTTCAGTTCAACCAATGCTAATAGCAAATGTTTGCTTCTGACTTGTATAAGCTGGCATGAAATTGTTACCAGAAAAGGCTGGAAAATGCCGACGTAGATATGGGAAAGCAAGAATTGCTCCTACTCAAGAGAGCAAATATAATGTTCTGAAAGAGATCGGCAGGAAGTGCTTGTGGCAGGACTTGCTTTAAAAGAGTGATTATCTCAGCCTGGGCCACTGTCGTACTGGTCAAAAGACTGTGCAAAGCTCCCTGAAAATTTATGCTTTTATTTCTCTTTGGTAATCAAGTCATTTTCAATTTTTTATAAGAAACTGTTAAAATATTTTATGATTCATAAAGCGTTAGTGCTTTTATTATGGAGAATATTACATTCCGGGTGATTATAGATGTTCTTACATCTATTATGCTTTTATTGTAGTATCTCTTATTTTTCTCAACTGTTTCAACAATAATTTGACAAATTTGTTAACATTTTTGTAAACAGAGTTTTCTATCATTTTGTTAAAACCAATCTAGTCAATATTTTTCTTTTTCTGTTAAGGAGAAAGGACACACATTGTAGATTTTAGTATTTTAAGTATTAGACCCTTTGCTGTGCTCTCATTTAATCTTGACAACAACTCCACAAGGGACTTGTTATGCTTCCCTTCTATAGATGTTGATTCTGTAATATAAAATCAGAGAGAAGAGTGACTTGCTTAAGATGGCATAGCTATACCTGGCAAAGCCAGGATTCAAATCCAGGTGAGATTCCAAAATCGTAATCTCTTCAATGCCAAATTACTGAAATAGGTAAACATTAGACTGTTTTGACTGTGAATCGCAATCTACATTGGGCACATTGAACTCCATTATCTTCATTAGTGTGCTCAGATTACATTTTTTTTTCAGACTAAGAAAAACAAAATCCCCTCTGAGTTCTGCACTTGAAAATGAAAATTGCTTTTCTGAACTATGAAGTGAGTGGAACTAGCGCCCAAATGCCAGGTGCCCACCCGCACTATGCCGTGGCACAGCTGTTGCCCCTCCCACCAGATCCCTCTATTTGTCTGTGTCCTCATTGCCCTTTCCCTATGTAAGAGCTAGATGGGGAGGATCACAAGTGACTCCCGTTTTTATGGATCCTGGAGTGGGACTCAGGTTGAAAGCAGCATTGTCCTCTACATTGCCTGTTTTCTGCTGCTGGAGTATTTAAGCCTCATACATGTGTGAAAAAGAATTCCCATTTGCAGTTCAGACTAGATTGAAAGTATAGTTTAATGTGACTGTAATAATTATGCTGAAATGAGAGAGACAAAGAGGATGTAGTATCTACTCTCATAATTTTTTAAGAGCCACCTGCAACAGAATCAGGTTGGATTGTTTTTTTAAAACACAGATTCTGGAAACCTACTGAGACTCATTCACTCAATCAGTATCGCTGAGAGGTGAGCCTGAGACTGCATTTTAGCAAGTATCTCAGGTGATTTTTCCACATGCTAAGGTTTGAGAACCACTCCTCTGTGATTTACTTGTTATTTTCAATGTTCCTCAAAGCCAAACTAGAATTTCTAAAGTGTTAAGAATCCATTAGGTATTCACAGAATTGTCTTTTTTCTTTATAAATCTTTCAACACTGTTCTCATTTCCACACTTAATTACTTAAAACACCAACCAACCAACCAAGAAGTTGATAATGAATAAAGGTATAAAAATAGTGTTATAATAATGATGTTAATAACAACTGAAATTATTAATTATAATTTAAAAATAATATTTACAAGTATTATGTGCAAAACACTGGTGCATTCATTACTATCCCCCTTCCAGATAAGGTAACTGAGGCCAGAGAGGTTAAATGACATGCCCAAGTTCATGCAACTCGTATAGATAGGGTGGGGCCAGGATCAGAACGCAGGTAGAAACACTCTAGAGATCATGTTCAGATTTTACGTTCCAAGATGCCTGATATTTGAAAAGTAAAATAACATCCAGAATCTTATTATTATTATTATTTTTTTATAGAACAGAACTAAAACTGACCCGGAAGGCAGCCTATGTGAGATACTTCAATAGCTCAGCCTTCTTCTTCTCAGGGTTCTTTGTGGTGTTTTTATCTGTGCTTCCTTATGCACTGATCAAAGGAATCATCCTTCGAAAAATATTCACAACCATCTCATTCTGCATTGTTCTGCGCATGGCAGTCACTCGGCAATTTCCGTGGGCTGTACAAACATGGTATGATTCTCTTGGAGCAATAAACAAAATACAGGTAATGTACCACAATTGTGCATCATATACTATGATTTTGAAACATTTTAGAATTTTTCTAGCGGGCAAACTGTCTAGAGATGAATTCTTGGTCTTGGGCTTATTTAATGCATAAGATTTCCACTCTTGATGTCTATGTGTACTCTAGTGAGTCCTTGTAGTGAATGCCTAGTGAAGTAAAATGAAGGCCTGTGAGATTCTCTTAAGTCAAAGAAATTGAGGAAAATTGTTTCTGTACTTTGGAGGATTTCATTCAAGGAATCAGTCAATAGATTGGTTCAATCGAACTTTGCAAATGTACAAAAAGATCTAAAAAGAAAATTCCTTCACTAGAAAGTTATAAAACTTTCCAGCTAATACTAGGGATGTTCAGCTTAAACTTTCCTAGCATTTCCCTAGACAATATGAGGGATGCAAATGGCATTTTATGCCAAATTACCTTAAAATCCCAGCAATATTGATGTAGCTGGCAGCTTTGAGGTGAAGTTCTAAAGTCTTAAGGTGACAAGGCTCAATTTATACAAAGCTAATTGATGCACTTGTGTGTGGTTAATAAACATAAAAACGTTTTATTGTGCTTTTTTGGTATTTAAATATTTAACCCAGAAAATAAGTCACTGTGACAACAATAAAAATGAGGGGTGAAGAGCAGTGAAGAAAAGGAAGAAGCAAAGCAAGGACCAGGCTTTTTTCATTGCTTCATGTGGCCAAGACTTCAGGGTGCATGGACTTAATTCTTCTTTTGCTCCCACCTTCCCTACAGAAAGTGATTCGGAATCTCTAAAGTGTCCTTCTCTTAGATTCACAGTTTGATGCCTTAAAGCTAGTTATATACCTTCACACCTTTACTTATCCTCGGGAGTGATGCTGAATATGCCTCTATTAAGGAGGGTGCTGTAAAGATGAAGACATTCTTTCTCTTTGTCCTAATGTTGAATTAAGGCACATTCATCACTAAGGTTAATGTGTACAGGATGACTCAGTTGTATGTTACAATGTAATATGTAAAAACAGTTTTATACAATATCACATGTTTAAAGAGTGTATTTCAAATATGATGAATCCTAGTGCTTGGCAAATTAACTTTCAAACGCTGTTATAAAATTATTTTATTAAGAAATAATTTCTAATTTAATTATTAAAATCCATATATAAGATGTAACACCATTAGAGTTGTAAAATAGATGTATTAAATAATAATGTTTTAATGTTATTCTGATTCTACAATATATCTTTGCTCTCTTTTTAAAAATAGGATTTCTTACAAAAGCAAGAATATAAGACCTTGGAATATAACTTAACAACTACAGAAGTAGTGATGGAGAATGTAACAGCATTCTGGGAGGAGGTCAGAGTTGTTTTTTTTTAATTGTTTGCTCTGAATACTTAAGCATTTTCATCTTTGTGAATCTAGATTTCATCCTGAAGGAAAATAAAGTTAGGATGATGATGTAATTGGTAGAACTGAAAGGAGGACCTCTCCACATGCTTTATAGATTAAGAAGTAGAGGCCCAGGAATATTAAATGCAATATAGAAGCCTCTTTATTTCTTTCTAAGTCATGTAATTTGTTTTGCACAACAGATCAGGAAATAATACAGAGATCATACGTTCTGGAGCTGGGTTTGAATCCCGGTTCTGTCATTTACTTTCTGTGTAATCTAAATCAAGTTACTTAACCTTGTGGGGCTTCTGGCTCTCCATCTGTGAAATGGAGAATATTAATATTTACCTTACAAATTAGTTGTGAAGACTGACTGAGATAATTTATGTAAAGCGTATCAGAGTACCATGCACATAGTTGTTCCCCAGTAAACATCACCTTCTCTGATGTCAAGATCCAGTCCAATGTGCTTTATATACACCAGTCAACAAAAAGATGTATGAGAGATATACCAATATATTGTTTTCTACTATTTTTTACCTATTTACATTTACTATTAAAATTCTCTCATATTGCTCAATGTCATAAAAAATATCATCAATGATTTTCAGCCTCTAAAGAAGTAATATTTGATTATTGAGAACACCTGCTGTATTCCTATTTCCTTATCACTTGTATCAGTTGAGTAAAGGTAGGAGTTATAAAACCAATGTCCTATTTCTAAATCTTTCTTAATATCTTAAACTGGATTTATTTATATAAGTAACTTGACCATCAGGGCTTCCTTTTACTTCATTTTTAAAGATATAGGTAAGAAAATAATTCTTTTATCTGTCTAGCAGAATTGTTTTGTGGAAAAATATGTGGATCGGATTTATTTTATTACTTTGTTTTTAGAAATTTCAAATGTCCTTCCAGGCATGAAAGAAAAATATGAAGCTTGAAATTTTTTGCTACTACTTTTAGGTCATTGTTTTCCTCCTCTGGTGCAAAAATCCTTCATTCCTCTCTTACTCCATCTGATAAAATAAGTAGCATGCTTGAGCTCTTACTATGTGCCAGGCACTAGGATAAGCATTCTTTGTGTTTTGTTTCACTTAATCCTTTGGCCTAAATAAGATTAATATTTCCATCTTACTGATAAGATAATGGAGGCTTCAAAAAGTTAAGGGACTTGGTTCTTCACACAATTGGCAAGAACTGAAGCTGGATTCTGGACCCAAATGTCGCACAGTCTAGAGCCCTTTCACTGAACTGTTGCCTTCCATCTGGCTTTCCCTCCTCCTCCAGTCTTTGACTGTCACCTAAATTCTGAGCACTCCTTGATGTTATTTACCCATGATGGTGATGCTTTTTAAACTCCTGTTTGAGACTACAACATCCACATGAACGATTCTTCCAATATTGTCCTTAGAACTTATATTTTCCAGTGACTTCTTTAGAAGCTTTCTCTTTTAGTTATATCCTGAGCTTTGTTAGCACCCAGACTTACCCCACTTTGGAAATGTCACACTCTGAAATCTCTTTCTCAGCCCAGAATTTCCTAACCGTACAGCTCTCTCAGTCTCTTAATTCTACCCTTTCTGCCTTTCAATTGATGCAAGATTTCTAGTTTCATTAATTCTTCCTTTTGGACCCCTCCTGGTTTAATCTCAGCTTATTCCAAGGCCAATAATTTCAACTCTTCTCTCAGACGCACTCTAAATTCATTTTTTCCTTTTGCTATTTTTTTTTCCTACAAAGCTTTTGCTTTATCAGTTTGGGAGAAGGAAGTGCTATTTGGGAAAATCATACACTGTAGTCCACTGTAAGTTTTATACATTTATTGTTGCAACCTCAACCAGGCCCATAATCTTTCTTGGGAAATCCTTTCATTTGTCTTTAGTTAATTTTTGCTACTACTTCCTTGTAAACTATTCCAGATTTTTACCACTTTCCTGAAACCCACAACCTCTCCCAGGATCGGCTCACCCTCAGTAAATGGCCTTGCCTTTTACATCAAGAAAATCCAGACCATCGTCATGTATGAATGCTTCCAATTTCTCTCTTCACCCCTGGAATTATCTTTTCCTCCTTTCTTCTGTCTAAGAGAAGAAGATATATACTTCTTCCTGCCCTTGTCTGAACTATTCTGGCTTACTTCATCTTCTCAGAACAGGGGGCAAGCAATTATTTTCTCTCTAGAAGCTTCAACATCTTTTCTCAACTGACTCCTTCTGACACTTAAATATTCTGAAGTTAAAAAATGCTTTCCCTGACTTCTGCTCACCCAGCATCATCCCCTAAACCTTACCACTCTCCTTCCCTTCATTGTCTAGCCTGTTCTCACTTCCTCGCCTTTCGTGGACTTTGTAATCCGAATTCTGCTTTTATCAATCTATTAAAACTGTTCTTTTTTCCCTGGAATTTATCAATTAATTTAGCTTTAGTGAACTACTCTTCCCAGATTATTTTGGCCTCAGACCACCACTTCCAAGTCCGTCCCACCTGCCTCTTCAGTGGCGATAGGCCACCACGTCCTCCTTCTGGCATTTCATGCTCTCTGGGTGTGACCTCTCCAGGCTTAGCTGATGTCAATGTGCTGATGACTCTCAAATGCAAATCTATAGCCCCAGTTTCTTTCCTGAACTTCCTGCACGTGTTTCCAAACTTCCTGCATGTCCCTCAAGCACTTCACATTCATTACTCCCCAGGCTTCCTAAACCCTCTTGTTCCAGTATATTCTCCATTTCCTTTGATGGCATCACCCAGGAGGGAGGTCCCTGAATAGTTACATATGACTCCTCCCTGGTTCCAAACCTGTGAGTAGGTAAAATTCTGTTTATGTATAAGGAAGCTGAGGTGTACACAGTTTAATTAGCTAGAACGAGGTTACACAACCAGCTAGGGATGGGCTAAAATGTCAGCCTAGGTTTCTGTAAGTCCAAAGCCCTTTCCCACTCACCATATTGTCACTGATTAAAAAAAAAAAAAGACTATCACTTTACTGCATAAAAATGCTTTCACATATATTACCTCATTTAGTACCCTTAACAACTCAGGAAACTGAAGCTGAGAATGTTATAACCTGTCAACCATTCTCCAGCTAGTTGAGAAGATGAGACAAAGACTGGGACAAAGGATATCATTATTGTTCCACTGCCAACTGCAGGGAGCCCATAAACATAGGAAATATTCAGCCTTACTAGGCATCAAATAAATGTAAGTAAGATCGATGATGACATTTTGTTTCACCTATAAAACTACAAAAAACAAAACAAAACAAAAAACAAAACAAAACAAACCAAAACCAAAAAGCAGCAGTGTTGATAAGGGGTGCTGAAAACTAGCACTCATACATTGCTGGAGGAAAATATGGAATAACTTTTCAAAAGACTTGGAATTTTACATACCTTTTGCTCTGAAAATTCTACTTGAGGGACTTTATACCCCCCTAAAAAAAAGGATGTGCCCAAGATTTACAGCAAAGTATGTGCATTCACAGAATTATTGACTAAATTTTTTTAAAAAGAAAACCATCTAACAGAGAACTGTTTAAAGTTTACCCATACTCTGTCATACTGTCCTGCAATTAAAAATTATAGTAAGAAGAATGTTTAATGATATATGAAGATACTTGTGGTTTATTATATGTCAGAAAAAACAGGTCACAAACCTTGTATATAATTTGTATGAATGTTGTAAAAATCATATATGTGATTTTATATAATATGTAAATATATATTTATTTTATTTATATATTTTTTATATGTAAAAGAGTGCAGGGATATAAATTGAAATGTCAAACGTGGTTACTTCTCAATTTTATGACTACAGGTGATTTCTATTTTTCTCTTTCTGCTTTCTTATGTTTTTCAAATTTCCTAAAATGAGCATCTTCTGTCATCAGAAATGAAAGTTATTAGTAATAACCTTCTGTTGGTCCAAGTGCTTATTGGACAAAAGTATCACTTCTAAGCATGGCACTGAAACTTTTGGTTTAACAGCTTTTGTCATCTTGCCATGTATTTCTGACCCAGCCGCTCACCATTCCTGAGATGTATTTTGTTCTTTTAAGCCTAATCATTGTGCATGTAGACCCATCTTCCTTGAACACCTGTAACCATTGTTTAGTCTTGTGAAATCCCACTCACTTCCCTCATAGCCTAGCATGTATGTCATTTACTTGGTCAGGGTTGAATCAGCTGTTCTCTTGAATGTACTCCCATAGGACTTGGTGTGATTTTTAGTTGTAGCACCAAGCACATTGCAATATTAATACTATTAATGTGTCATTCTCCTATGTGGGATTTTTTAAGTAGTCTATAATACGGAGGTGATGCTTAATAAATATCTGTTAGATAAATAAATGAATAGGGGAATAACAAGTGCTTTTTCTCATTTTTTTTTACAAGTTTTCATTGCCCACCCCTTAAAGGCTCCACTTTTAGTTGTCTAATGTCTGATTTTATCCACTATATCGTAAGAACTCAAAGCAGTGGTCTTCAAGCTTAATTGTTTATGTATGCCCAAAACGAATTTTGAAAACTTACGTACCCCTGACAGACACATTTTTAAGTTAACTCAAATTTTTCAATATAGGTTTAAGTGGTGACTAAGAATGCAATTTTCTGTTTATTTTATATTGTTTATTTTATATTGTCTAAATCTATGTTAAACAGATTTTTGTCAAAACCTTAAAGCTGCAGTTTCAGTGCATTCAATTTATGGAAAAGAAATGAATTTATGAAGTCAGTTGTCATTGTGAAGGCAATCAGCTAAATACAACTTGCTTTCTGTCAGAAAATGTGTGACTTTATAATACAGATAATTAATAATCTATGTAATTAATTTATTAAATTATTAAGAATTAAATAATCAGTTAATTGACCAATTGAAATGCTCAGCTCATTTCTGAAAATTGATTCAAAGATAGATATAAGATGCATAAATTGCTTTAAGTTTGAAATCTGGATGAAATAAGATCCTGCTTCCTTCAGTATTTCTGCCTTTCCTTTTATGGAAAGAGAAAATCATTTCCTCATCATACCCTTGTTTGAATCCCAGAGGTTTTTATACTCTGGAAAGTACAACATAGTAAGACTAGTATAGTACTCACGTGTATGATAGGTGAGAAGGCTGTGTCTTCTGTGTAAAACAAGGGAAGAAAAATTGTGAGAGTGGGTCAGGAGAAATGACAGATGGCAGGCAAATTCTTGGGCAGGTTAATTTTAAGAAAGAGTGTATTTGGGTGTTGAGGATCTGGAAATAGAGCCCTTCATATGTGCACCAGCTTCCTCCTGATCAGTCTTCAGGGCTGTTTACATTGATTTTAAGACCACTACCATAAAGCTTCCCCTGGGGGCAATAGAGAGGCAAGGAATTTTCAGAAGGTATTTATTTATTTACTTCTCGCCAGCTACCCTTGTATAAATGAATTCATTTGAGTCATCTGGCAAACTCTTCACATTTGTATTCAACAATAATTACACAAAGAAATGCTGTGAGCTTCTCAGAGGAAGGTCGAACACTGTGATAGAGTAGAAGTCAGATTTGCATTGTAATTCTACTTTGTGACCTACCTGTTATGTGATGTTAATCATTTAACCTCTCTGAGTCATAGTCTACAGTTTTGAAAGAGGAGGATTATAAAATCTACCTCATATATTATGCTTAAGATTAAATAATAATGTTTATGTACCCAGCCCATAGACAAGGTGTGTGTGTGTGTGTGTGTGTGTATTCAGTCTTTACCTAAATAAAAGTTTAATTAAATTTGATAATGGGCAAGATCTGAGAAAGGGTAATTATGTTTCCATTGAATATTATAATTTTAAAATGTTTTTGGATCATGTGCTCTAGAAACCATGTGCTATAATTATGTACTATAAAGTCATAATGTATGCAGTATAATGGATCATGTGCCTTGTGCTTTTCAAACTAATCATACATAGAACAGGTGTATCTATTGAAAATATCTGATCTATCTTTTATATTTGATTTTTTTAACAGGGATTTGGGGAATTATTTGAGAAAGCAAAACAAAACAGTGACAACAGAAAAATTTCCAATGGTGATAACAGTCTCTTCTTCAGTAATTTAGGACTTCTTGGTACTCCTGTCCTGAAAGATATCAGTTTCAAGATAGAAAGAGGACAGTTGTTGGCAGTTGCTGGATCTACTGGAGCAGGCAAGGTAGTCTCTTTAATTGCTCATTGTAAGAACTTAATTTGGCATGCATTTTTCCTTTTTTTCTAATTTGTCTGCAGTGTAAGAAGGTATTTGGGAGAAATTCTTATCCAGGTGTTAGGAGAATGCTTGGGTATAGTGTCCCATATAATACAAATTGTTCTGATAATTTTCTCTAGTTTTTTATTTCCTTTTATTTCCAGTGACTTTTTCCTTTTACAACTATATTTTGCATAGCATTCTACACAGTGTCTTGCACACGGTGGCCATTCAATAATTTTGTTGAACAAATAAGCCATCCATTTTAACCAATCTTTAGCATGGGCATTTTTTCAGAGCCGGTCCGGGAAAATCATGGCTTACATTTTACCCCCATAGCCAGTGAGCGAAAGGCTCTCAGTTTGTTGACATTAGAATTTTGGAGAATGGACTTAGACTTGCTTATAATATATTATGAGGTAAAATTATTGAGTGGGATAGTTTTTTTAGGAAATACATAAGAATGTTAATTTATTCAGGGCTAAACTTCCCCTCCACACCTCACCCCAAGAACAACTTACAATAAATATGAGATATTTGGAGATACACCTGACAAAAACTAGTAGGTTAGAAAGAAAAACAGCTAAAGGATCAAACTCTATTGTCAGGAGAAGAGAAGATTTTATAGTGATCTTCAAGAATATGAATTATCATGCAGATAGTGATCAACACTTGTTCTCTTTTAACCATTGAGGAAATACGTTTAAAGGACATGAAGGAATCAAATTAGAGATAAGAAAGTGCTTTCTAGTACTGGAATGGGCTAAAGGGCAACAGGTATGTGCTTTGGAAGTTATAAAAATAGGTCCTTCTTCCCATTTGACTGTCATTGTAGGTGTGGTGCTTTCTAGAAATACAAGAAAAAGTTTAGTGGCCTCTTGAAGCTTTCAAAATGCTTTCTAGAACTATACCCAAGGATGCAAGACAGAAAAAGAAAGAAAGAAAGAATCAAAGAGAGGAAGGAAGAAAGGAAGAAATGAAGGAAGGAAGGAAAGAAGGAAGAAAGGAAGGAAAGGAAAGAATGGAAGAAAAGAAGGAAGGGGGAAGCAGTACTGCCATAGGTAAAAATGTAAATAGAAAATAGAAATGAAGAAAGACTTGTGAAAGGCAACTGTTTATTAATATCTGAGATGGGGAGAACCATATTTTAAAGAGACATGGGAAACAAAATGCCACAGAAAATTTCTAGTCAATAAATTTGGTGCCCACAATGCTAGCAATACAATTTGCTTATTTCTCCCTTCAATTGTTTTCCAGCAGGTCAAACAGGCTTTTTATACAAGGTAGCTATAGTTGTACATTTATTCCTTACAAAAACATTTTCCTTTTTAGAGTATTATTATTTTTCTTCTATTTCATGTATGCTATTACTAGCAATTTTCACTATGAAAGGAAAATTATACCATAGGAGGAGCTGATACTAAAGAAGTTACAGATGATCAAAACATGGATCTTTGCTTGTGAGAAGATAGTAATTGTGTTTCACAGAATTTTAAAAATTAATTCTGTTTATGTATTTAAGATCAATTCTATGAAAGATGTGCAAAAATAGCATTGGAATTATAAATTACAAGACTTGCTGGCAATTAAATTTCAGGCAGTTTTATTAAAAATTGATGAGCAGATAATTACTGGCTGGAGTTGTAATTGCATCTTATGGGAAGCAGCTGAGAAGACAGTCAGGTGAAGGTAGTAGTCCCTTAGGAATATTTAAACACTTCTTAGAAGTAGAGTTTGCCATCTCAATCTAGGAGGCTGCCTTTTTGTAATATTAGGAATGGAGTATTTTATAATTTTGTTGGACAAGCTATCTAGCTAAATATATGATTGAAGAATTGAAAATATTAACACTTTAAGTTAAATCTCACCCCACTCAATTTGATAATTTGTATCAAAAGCTTTAAAGATAACTTAATAATTCTTCCACTTGTATGACTTACCCTAATATGTTTACAGAGATTTTATATAGAGATCTTCATTACAACATTGCTTTCAATAGCCAAAAATTGGGGGAGAAAACCTCATAAATGTTTAATAATACAGGATTGATTAGATAAATCTTGGTGTAGCTATAAAAGGGATGTTAAAGAATGATGTTTAAGGATATGTATGGTGTATTCTTAAATGAAGGAAGACAAACAGGTTACAAAACAGTATGTACATTATGATTCATATTTTATAAAAGCATATATATGTGTATGTATATATGTATGTGTGGAAGGACAAATGTATCAAGTTGTTATCTTTGAGATTTTGGGTGTACTTTGCATCTCTGGATTTTCCAAGGCTTTGACAATTCATATATATTATTTTACTGATAAAACAACACAGCCATGTTTAATTTTATCACTCTCCCCTGTTATAATTGTGTAGACTGTAAAGGGACCATGTCTTTTTCAATTTTATGTCCCAAGGACTATCCTAGTGCCTTTATGCAAATTTAACTGAACATTTTTAGGAAAATGCTTTGGGTTTTTTTGTTCTAATCTACATTAAGTATCTTGCACTTATGAAACTTCCTTTGATGATTTTAATCAATATTGGTGTAAGAGTCCACACCACTGGGTGCCCTTAAGTGAAGGCAAGCTGCAGCATCTCACCAGGTGTGGGGATTTTGAGTCCTTCTGTTGTCTCCGTCACAACCAAAGTAGTTCTGTGGCCTTGTTGACAACCCCTGACACCATCTTGTCTCTCATCTATCCTTGTCTCACTCTGGCACTGAGCTTTAGCTTGGTCTTATAATAAATGGGCATCAGATACATGGAATAAGCTACTAGCTCGTATATTTTCTTACTTTGTATACGGACTAAAAATGTCTGCAGACTTTTATCAACATTTTGGAATTTTGGGAGATATGAAATTAAATGAAAACATTGAATATTTTGTATATCTATCTATTGATGGATATATACATTTTTTAATCTGGATAATCAAATCAGATCTATTCCATGTTTGGGTTGATAAAGCTATACTATATGAAAGTGCCGCTTTTAGCTTTACTTCATACAAAAGGATTTTACATAAAAATATGGCAATTCAGACTTTTTCCCTCCATATAAAAAGAATTACAAAATTTACTGAAACAGATATCACAAAGGTGTCTGTTACTTGACCTTCCTTTCTTCCTAATATATAGCACCTAATTTAATAGGTGCTTTTATATATTTTTTATATGTAAAAGAGTGCAGGGATATAAATTGAAATGTCAAACGTGGTTACTTCTCAATTTTATGACTACAGGTGATTTCTATTTTTCTCTTATTTCTGTCTCTCATCTGCCCATTTTCCATTCTCCACCACTCCCTCCTCAGACACAGGTAGCCAATCTTGGTAATTTTTAAAATATCTTTCCAGAGATATTTTTATGCATATATAATCAATATATACTTTTTATTGTTCTCTACCTCCTTTTTATATAAAAAAGTATCATGCAATAAACAGAGTTTTGTTCCTTGCTTTTCTCACTTAAGTATATATCTTGGAGAACTTTCCATATTCAAAGTATAGAGAACTTCCATATACATAGCACTGCTATGATGATCTGAATGTTTGTCCACCACCAATTCATATGTTGAAATCCTAACCCCCAAGGTGATGGTAGTGTGTGTGGGGGGGTAGCTTTTGGGAGGTTCTTAGATCTGCTATAAAAGGGACCCCAGAGAGCTTTCTTGCCCTCTTTTTGCCTTGTGAGGATACAGTAAGAAGTTGGCAGTCTGTTGTTCAGAAGAGGGCCCTCACCAGAACCTGACCTTGCTGGTACCCTGATCTTAGACTTCAATTCCAGAACTGTGAGAAATAAACTTCTGTTGTTTATAAGCCACCTGGTTTATGGTATTTTGTTATAGCAGCCTGAACAAAGATACACGTACACACATATATATACACACACACACACATTTAAATAGCTACATAGTATTCTATTATATGGATGAATATTCTATAATATAATGAGTCACTATTGATTGACATTTGGGTTGTTTCCAATGTTTTTCTAACACAAAGAATGACATTATAAATAACCTTGTGTACATGCTATTTAGCACATCTGCAGGTATATCAATAGGATATCTTCCTAGAAATGGTCAAGCATTTGTGCACTTGTAATTTTATTTATTTGTTTGTTTTTTTGCTTTAGAGGTGGGGTCCCACTCTGTTGCCCAGGCTGGAGTGCAGTAGTGCAATCACAGTCACTGTAGCCTCTAACTCCTGGGCTCAAGTGATCCTCCTGCCTCAGCCTCCTGAGTAGTTGGGACTATGGACACACACCATCACGCTCAGCTAATTTTTAAATTTTTTTGTAGAGATGGGCATCTCACTATGTTGCCCACAGTAGTTTCTAACTCCCAGGCTCAAGGGATCCTCCTACCTCGGCCATTAAGTATATTGTTCTGTGTCGTTAAGTATATTCACATAATTATGCAACCAGCACCTTTTTTTTATTTTAATTTACTGATTTATAGATATATTTCATCTGAGTTCTATCATATTATTTGATGTTTTGTTTTATGTTTTTCTTTCCTTTTTTTTTGTGAAGTCACTGTATTGTCTGTTGGCCTCTTTGTATCTCATCTCTCCTTTATAAGATGAAGATAGTAATGAATCAACCTTGTAGGATTATTGTGAAGATTAAATAAATTAATATAATTAAAGTTGGTAGAACAGCATTCAGCACAGAGTGAGCACTCGAACAAATGTTAGCTGTTACTGATCTTTCGCTGTACCTTCTCCAAACCTGTCCCAGTAATTGGAATCAGGTGCCCGCCCCTTCTCTGTGACCTTCTACCATAGCATTTGCCACACTGTATTGTAATTGTCTCTTTTATTCCCCTTGTATCTTTTGTGCGTAGCACAGTACCTGGAACTTAAAAAATTTGGAATCACACGAGTTAATAGAATCTTTTAAAATCAGAATAGATACCTCTGCTTAGGATGATAATTGGGGGCACATGAATCCTGAGAGTGATTTGATCAAATGACTTAACAATGTTTTTCTTTCCAGACTTCACTTCTAATGATGATTATGGGAGAACTGGAGCCTTCAGAGGGCAAAATTAAGCACAGTGGAAGAATTTCATTCTGCTCTCAGTTTTCCTGGATCATGCCTGGCACCATTAAAGAAAACATCATCTTTGGCGTTTCCTATGATGAGTATAGATATAGGAGTGTCATCAAAGCATGCCAACTAGAAGAGGTAAGAAATTATGTGGAAAATTTCTTATCATGCATATGAAATCTTCAAATTACCCAAATTGTATGTTTAGCTCCTTATTTAGTCAGTCAGTCTACATATATTCAAGTTTCCTCTATGGGTTAGCTGCTGTGGCTAGATCGGTTAATAAAACACACGACCCCTGCTTTAAGAAGCTTGCAAACACATAAAATAGATGCAATTTATTTTTTAAACAATGGGCTGATTTTGTCACAATAAAAAACTCTTTATGAAGTGGCGAAAATTTTATTCACCCATTAGTGAGACAAATGTCCTCAATGGACATTTATGTGGCATGTATTTTTTAAAGTATATGCCAAAAACTACATAAGAGATTTTAATCATTAACACCACAGCCTAATGGAATGAGCATTGAGCTGCCAGTAAAGAATCAGAGAGATAAAATTGTGATATATCTTATCCTTGGCTTTGAATATATGACCATATCACCTCTAGCGACAGCAATTCTCTGATACAGAGACAAACTGAAGATGATTCTATTGACTCAATCCATAACAATATTGAGGAATGAGCTGATTACCTTGAAATTACATAAAGTACTCCACGTGAAGCCAGTATGTGGATCTTGTGCTGTTCAATGTGTAAATTCTATGCTGGTGGGTTCAGTAATTATTGATGTAAATGTTAGGGCAAGGACTATATTACTTGAGGTTTGTTGGCAATGTTGTCTGAATAGTACTGTCAAAATCAGTATCTTTGACAGTTGGAATTGGGTACTACTGGATTCCTTTATGTCACCTTTTATGAAAAAATTGCAATGGAAATAAAATGAAGCTTAAAATACAGTATACAAAAAAATGGAAAAGGGCTAATTGTAGATTAGATAGAAATGAAAGTTCTTACATAAAAGGGCTGTAGGCTTATACAAATGGCTCTCCGTGTGTATACTGACTTATTCAACAGTAGTTTTTTAAAGCCCCGTTCTCTTATTTTCTGTACACTGAGATCATAATGAAAAGATATCCTGTAAAAGTTTTACCTTAAGAAGATATTCTTCATTCCTCAAGAGCCCTTCTTCCAGGAATAGTATTTCACAACCTGGAGGTTGGAACAATCTGGATATGTGACCCAAAAAAATCTGAATGTTTCCAGAGAACACAGATTTTTGTCCAGGAGGGGATTGAGGTATAGGAGTGGTAATGCCTTGCAAGATAAATCATAGGCTTTATTTATTTATGAGTGGAAAGGTTTTGGAAGATTTCTTACAGACTTTGTTTTTTTGGGCTTGAATATACCTTTTCCCATATAAATGATTTTTATAAATGGTAGTTTGATTTCCCTAAGTTAAATCTATAAAAGTATATTTAACCCAAATATAGCTTAGGTATATTACTAGTAATAAATTTAGAGCTGTGGGTCCCTCATTCATGGAATGGGTATTTACTAACTTTTGAACACTGTGCTAGGTCCTGGGATTACCAAATTGAATAAGACATAATCCATTTCCGAAGGGTTCATAGTACAGTACCCTGTGTTAATAATGAAGGATTTTACGGTATATGAATTATATCTCAATAAAGCTATTAAAATAATGAAGGAAGGAGGAGGAGAAAAAGAACACTGTATTCCTCCTTTTTTTCTGATTGCATGGTCAGCCTTGAAATTATTTTTAAAGTGTATAATTCGATGTTTTTTAGCTTATTCACAGGATTATACTACAATCACCACATTTTTAGCTTCTTAAAAAGGAAACTCTGTACCCATTAGCATTCAATTCACATTCCATTGTACCTAATGGTCCCCACTCTCAGCCATAAGCAATCACTAAATCCACTTTCCGTCTCTATATATTTGGCTTTTATGGACATTTGACATAAATGGAATCATACAATAGGTATTTTGAGCCTAAATATACTTTTAAAGTAGAAAAAAGAAGGAGTTGTCATTTAGCAAATACTAAGATTTGCTATATTTTATATGGTGTACTACTAGGAGCTGGATATGAAAATTAGAATAGGACATGATACATATACTTTAGGGATTCATGTACTAGTGGAAGAGAGAAACACATCAATAACAAATCTAATTGGTGCCCTGAAAGAAAATGAAAGAGGAATTTTTATAGCAGTAAAAGGAGGAAGCATAGACTCCATCTGGGTCTGCCTGTTGTAAGGAGTAGCCTCCTCATACAAGAGGCACAAGGCTTCTGAGGGAATGATTCAATGTGAAATTCCAAGGGCGACAAGAATGAAACATATGGCCTTAGGAGAATTTTTTAATTAACCTTAGAACTGCCAATACAGTAGAGGGAAGCTTAGGTTGATTTGATTAAGTGGGAAATTCATGAGCAAATGGTCACTGGATTGTTGAGAAGATTAAATGAGATGTACACATAAGGTGCCTAACACAGCATGTGGTACAAAGTAGCCAGTCAGTAAATATTAGCTTGCTTCCACTTCCCTTTGAGGTAGAAAATACTGTTAGAGAGCATGACACAAGAGAAATGCCTCTCTGAGAATCAGTTCTTATTAGTGAGTGACCACTGTGGAGAAAACGTGGACGTTGATATAATCAAGGAGGAGAACCATGAAGCCAAAGAATTATGAAAAGTCATCGGTATAAATTTTGATAGTGACAAAAGTGATTATAAAAGAAAATGATAAAGATGGTCATTATAAATATGGTGGTTGATCTACATGAGACAACCAAGAAAAGTTTGGCTAGTCCATGGAAGAAAACAGCATGAGATCCTACGGTTGGGAGGGGACCCCACTGTTTGTCTCTTTCAGACCTGAAGACTTTACTTGTGTGACTCCTGATACCAGACATTGTTCACTGTGGTGAGGGTGTGGTGGATACAAAGTGAAAGCTTTATCATCTTTTCTGTCAAAGAACTTACAGGCTGGTTGGGGGAAAACATACATAAAGAGACTATTTTGATATGATATGGCAAATGTGGGCGAGAAGTACTCTTAGGGAACTACAGAAGCCCAGTAGAGGGCTTTTAGTCTCTCTGGGCAGTTCAGAGAAGCTTTCTCTAAAAGCAGACACCTGGAAGGATAAGTTAAAGACAGAAAATGTATTCTGGACAGAGGGAATTGTATGAACAGAAACACAGGACATGAACCACTTGGTTGGTTCAGGGAATCACCAGCATCCTGACAAAACCAGAGTGTAATTCAGGGACAGTTAGTGGGGAGGAATGAAGGTGGAGGACTATGTCATGGAGGCCTTGATTACTGTCTTAGGGATTTGGTCTTGGAGAGCTTTAATCAGGGGAATGATATAATCAGCTTTAAAGTTTACATATGTCACTGTGGCTGTGATAATGAGGAGCAGAGTTAAGGTGATTAGAAGCTTTTTGGAATAGCAGAAAGAACATACATTTTGAAATCTGACAGGGCTTGTTTACTAAAGAAAGGTATTTAACCTTGCTATATACCAAGTTTTATCCTCTAAAATATAGGAATAATATTACCTATTTTGTAGAGTTTTGTGGATTCTTCTGGCACATAGAAAGTACTTAATAAATAAAATGCTATTATTGATAGTACTATTTGATATTCTGATTAGAAGAATGGAAACTAAGAGGAAGGTATTTCATTAATACAAATATGGTCGTAACAGACAAAAAGAGACAAAAGCAGAGGAATTGTGAAGACAGAAAATGTCATATTCATGTATTATTTGCATCCATAAGAAAGGCCATCAAGGAATATGGCCCTTCAAGAAAAAGGTGAGGTTTGGCCGGGCGCAGTGGCTCACGCCTGTAATCCTAGCACTCTGGGAGGCCGAGGCGGGCGGATTGTTTGAGCTCAGGAGTTCGAGACCAGCCTGAGCAAGAGCGAGACCCCGTCTCTACCAAAAATAGAAAGAAATTAATTGGACAGCTAAAAATATATATAGAAAAAATTAGCCGGGCATGGTGGCGCATGCCTGTAGTCCCAGCTACTCGGGAGGCTGAGGCAGTAGGATCGCTTGAGCCCAGGAGTGTGAGGTTGCTGTGAGCTAGGCTGACGCCACGGCACTCACTCTAGCCCGGGCAACAAAGTGAGACTCTGTCTCAAAAAAAAGAAGAAAAAGGTGAGGTTTTTTTTTTTTTCGAGAAATTAGAAGAGGAGGGAAATTGGCTTAAGGTTAAGGATTTCCCGCACGACAGAAGTTGGAAAGGGGAACAGGTAGAAATGCTATGGTTTAGGAAGGAAGGACGTGGAGGTGAACTGCACAGAACTGAGATACTTGATCACAGATTTTGCTAACAAAGTACCAATGGACGATGCCACTAGGTGGGATTCAATAAATAATCGTTAATAATGATAACAGCCTCCATCTAGTTTTTTTTGTTTGTTTTTTTTGAGACAGAGTCTCACTCTGTTGCCCTGGCTAGAGTGAGTGCCGTGGCGTCAGCCTAGCTCACAGCAACCTCACACTCCTGGGCTCAAGCGATCCTACTGCCTCAGCCTCCCGAGTAGCTGGGACTACAGGCATGCGCCACCATGCCCGGCTAATTTTTTCTATATATATTTTTAGCTGTCCAATTAATTTCTTTCTATTTTTGGTAGAGACGGGGTCTCGCTCTTGCTCAGGCTGGTCTCGAACTCCTGAGCTCAAACAGTCCGCCCGCCTCGGTCTCCCAGAGTGCTAGGATTACAGGCGTGAGCCACCGCGCCTGGCCCATCTAGTTTTTTTTTTTTTTTTTTTTTCAGCAAATTATGGGTGTACATACGTTTAGGTTACGTGTGTTGCCCTTGGTTCCCCCCCCACCGAAGTCCGTGTTTCAAATATGTCCATCCTTCGGGTAGTGCGCATTGCACTCCTTGTGTATACAAATACCCGTCCCCTCCTCCCTCCTCCCCTCTCCTCCCGCCGCCCTTCCCGTGGTACAGATGATTAGGTTAGGTGTGTTGCCCTTGGTTCCCCCCCCCACCGAAGTCCGTGTTTTAAATATGTCCATCCTTCGGATAGTGCGCATTGCCCTCCTTGTGTATGCACATACCCCTCCCCTCCTCCCTCTTCCCCCC